TGCTCTCATGATGTGAATGGTTTTTAAATAGTAATGTCGTCCAAGGGGGATTTTTGGGCATTACAATGTGATACTCTTAACATAGGATAAACTTCTATAATGAGCTAATGTTTTCACAATTCAAAGCAAAGATCAACAAATCACTAAACCCACAACACTCTAAATAGGGGAATATAGGTCAACATTCAGATATTTTTTGCAAAAATTTTCAAAATTTTCACATATTTTTCAACTATTGTAAAAACAAATTTGTAGAACATGTGAATGGTGAATTCCACCACAAAATGGTATTACCAACAAAAATTTTCATAAAAAATTTGGTGTGTCATACAAATGGTGCACCTCACCACCCAACTTGATTCAAGCATTATCCTCAATGCAACAAAAAAGATATGCTATGCAATGATGGACTTAAAAAGATAAGTAGGGTTAGAGAACACCTTGCATAGAGCTTTGGCAAAAAATAACATAATCTGCACAATTAAAGAAAAAAAACTACCCAAAGATGAAAGTTAGTAAGCAAAATAACTTGGAAAGTAAATGATAAAAGAAAATGATTGTACACTAAAATCTACATGAATAGTTATTCCTCCAAAAGGTCCACGTAAACTTGATCCACCAACTCTTCCTCCACCTTTTGACCTCAAAACCCTCAAAGAAAGGCTTAAGTCTTTGGCCATTGACCTTGAATGTTTTATAATCCTAGGGTTTGTGATTTCCACGGCTCCATTGGGATTGACCACCTTGACAAGATAGGGGTCATCCCAACGGGATCGAAGTTTTCTTTGGAAGATGGATAATTGAGAATTATACAAGAACACTTTTTGTCTGAGCTTAAATATTTTCCTTAAAATGGATTTATCATGAAAAATTTTAGCTATTTATTTGGAAATTCTTGAGCTCTCGTATGCATCTCTACGGATCTCCTCTAACTCATTCAACTCCATCTTCCTATTCTCTTTGGCTATGCTCAAGTTAAAGTTCATGGTCTTGATGGCCTAAAAGGCTTTGTGCTCCATTTCTACTGGCAAATGACAAGCCTTGTCATAGACTAGCCTATAGGATTACATACCTAGAATGGTCTTGTACGCAGTGTGGTAAGCTAATAGGGCATTGATCAACCTAAGTGACCAATCCTTCCTATTAGGGTTCATCGTTTTCTCTAGGATGTTATTGATCTCCCTATTGGCCAATTCGGCTTGGCCATTGGTTTGTGGGTGATAAGCGGTGGACACCTTATGTGTGATGTCATACTTATGCATTAAGGATGCAAATGTCCTATTACAAAAATGAGAACCACTATCACTTATCATTGCTTGAGGCATCTCGATCCTTGAAAAGATATTTTCTTTTAGGAAGTTGTCCCCGACTTGGTGGTCATTGATCTTGGTTGGGATAGCCTTTACCCACTTAGACACGTAGTCCACTACCAATAAAATATAGAGGTAGCCGAAAGACATAGGGAATGGACCCATGAAGGCAATGCCCCAACCATTGAATATCTCAATTACTAACATAGGGGACAAGGGCATCATATTCCTATAAGTCAGACTACCTAATATTGGCACCTTCACATTCTTTGCAAAAGGAAACACAATCTTTAATTAATGAAGGACAATAAAAACTGGATTGCAAAACCTTAGCCAAAGTCTTTTTGGAAGAAAAGTGTACACCACACGCTTCAGAATGGCTGAATGCAAGGATGTCTCGTTGTTCATTTTCATGAACACACCTCCTCATGAATTGGTCAGTGCAGTATTTGAACAAGTACGAATTGTCGAAGTAAAAGTACTTCACATCCGCTATAAATCTCCGTCAATCCTCTTGGCTCTAGTGTAGTAGAATTTGTCCTGTAGCAAGAAAATTTCCAATGTTAGCATACCAAGGACAAATATAATAATGGCAAATCATTGCTCGTCAGGAAAAGAGTCAGGGATAGGAATATGCTCTTCGGCATCTTAAACCACAAGTCGCGACAGATGGTCCACCACTACGTTCTCAACTCCTTTCTGGTCTTTGATAATAAAATTCAATTCTTGAAGGAGGAGGATCCATCTAATGAGTCTTGGTTTTGCGTCTTGCTTAGACAAAAGATACTTCAAAGCAATGTGACCAGTGCAGACTGCAATAGGCGAACCAATGATGTAGGACCAAAATTTATCCAATGCAAATACTACAACTAGCAACTCTTTTTTAGTGGTAGTGTAGTTCATTTGTGCTTCATTAAGAGTTTTACTAGCATAGTATATTACGTAAGGTCTCTTATCTTCCCTTTGACTGAGCACTGCACTGACTGCGTAATCAATTGCGTCGTATATGCTCAAATGGTAAATACCACTTGGGTGGTTGCATGATTGGAGGTGAAGTGAACATGCTTTTGAGTTTTTTAAAAGATGCCTCACAAACATACGACCACACAAATGGGACATCTTTTGAAAGCAAATTGGTCAAGGGTCTTGCCAAAGCACTAAAATCTTCGATAAAATGACAATAGAAGCCAGCATGGCTAGGAAACGACTTGACGTTCTTGATGACTTGTGAAGTAGGGAGTTTGGAAATTGGTTCCACCTTTGATTTGTCAACTTCGATCCCTTTCTATGAAACAATGTGCCCGAGCACTATCCCTTGTGTCACCATGAAGTGGCACTTCTCCCAGTTGAGAAGCAAATTATTCTCCTCACATCTCTCAAATACTCTTTCCAAGTTCTCCAAACAACCATTGAAGGAATCCCCAAACACCGAGAAATCATCCATAAAAACTTCCGCAATCTTCTCCAACATGTCACTAAAGATCCCTATCATGCATCTTTGAAAGGTCCCTGGGGAGTTGTACAACCCAAATGGCATGCGTCAGTAGACAAAGGTACCAAAGGGCGAGTGAAGGTTGTCTTTTCTTGATCCTCCTATGCTATCTCTATCTGATTGTATCTGGAGTAGCCATCCATGAAATAGTAGAACAGATGCCTGGCTACCCTTTCTAACACTTGGTCAAGAAACAGCAAGGGGAAGTGGTCTTTTCTTATGCATGAAATTAGTTTTCGATAATTAATACAGACCCTCCACCCGGTGACCACCCTTGTTAGAATTAACTCGTTCTCGTCATTTGCAACTACCGTGATTCCCAATTTCTTGGGTACTACTTGCGCGGGGCTAACCCACTTACTATCGGCAATCAAAAATATGATGCCTATGTCAAGTAGCTTAAGTACCTCCTCCCTCACCACATCTTTCATAATGGGGTTGAGTCTCCGTTGCGGTTGTCAGGATAGTTTTGTGTCTTCCTCCAAGTAAATCCTATGAGTGCAAATGATGGGACTAATCCCCCTTGATGTTGGCTATGGTCCACTTGATGGCTCCTTTGTGCCTCCTCAATACACATAACAACTCCTCCTCTTGTTGCACCTCCAATGTTGAGCTTATTACCACTGGGAAGGTCTTATGCTCCCCTAAGAATGCATATTTGAGGTTGGATGGTAACGGCTTCAACTCCAAGATTGGGGTTTGCATAGTTGATGGAAAGATCTTTTTCTCTTGCAATGTAAGTCTCTCAAATGTTGGGGTCCATTTTTCTAACTCTTGTAAACTTTTTGGCTCCTCTTGATCAACAATCTCCCCCTCCTCCAAATTCAAACTGCTAAGTATCTACAAGTGATCCTCCAACAAAGTGTCAATCTGGTTGATTTCATGTTCTTCTTCGTCATCCCCCCGGTTGCTTGCACAAGTTGAACATGTTAAGGTCCATTGTCATATTCCTGAAAGCAAGCTTCATTAGACTGTTTCTACAATTAATCATAGCATTAGATGTAGCAAGGAACGACCTACCTACTATGACAAGAAGTATAATAATAGAAATTATCGGCTTGAACTAAAACATCCTCAACTACTCCCCTTGGTGTTCTAACGCTGTTATCCATCAATTGAAGAGTGATTGGAGTTGGTTTCAACTCTTCAAGTTGTAGTTTTTGGTAAACTGAGTAGGGTAGGAGGTTGACACTTGCCCCCAAGTCAAGAAGTGCTTTCTCCACCCGAAAATTTCCTATTGTGATGGTAATGGTTGGGCAGCCGAGGTCTTTGAACATTGGTGGTGTGTTGGTCCTCAAAATGGAGCTCACTTCTTCGGTGAGGAATGCCTTCTTGTGCACATTGATGAGCACATAATATTGCATATTTAACGGCTTCATTACATGCATTCTAACTCAACTTTGAATTTAATTACTTAGAGTTAGTTGAATTTATGAATAATGTTAAAATCTTGATGTTGCAGGTAATTATAGCGTAAATGATGGATTTTGGTCCTGCAACTAAATGTGAATGAGTGTTAAGGAGGTGAACACATTACATGAATATTGGGAGGCTTTAAAGTGAAATAAATCAAGTAGGTAGTGGTATTTGGTATCATAGGGACCGATATCTAAGCCCACTTTAATTTTGGTAACGACACCCGCACCATTTGGTATTAGTAGATCTGTTTTGCCCAATTTTGACAATGATCCACTTCGAATCTGAAAAAGTGTAAAACATGAAAGTTGTAGATCTGTATGTCCATTATATTATGTCAACATGTCGGCTCACTCCAATGGTTGGATCAAAAGTTATGGCAAACTTATGAAAACTGGTACTGAGCTAGCATCTCATTTACAACCTACAGGTAGAAGCAAGAAAAACCTACCGGTAGGGATGACAGTGGACCGGGAAAAAATGGGTATTCGTCCAAACTCGCCCCATTTGGACCGGAATGGACTATACATATTGGACGGTGGACGTATACAGGAATACCCGTATAAATCCATGTGGGGATGAAGGCAGGGATGGACTTACCCTTACCCTCGCCCTGTCCCCGCCCCGCCCCGCCCCGCCCGTCCCTGTCCCCGTCCCCGTCCCCGTCCCCGTCCCCGTTATATTATATATATATATATATATATATATATATATATATATATATATATATATATATATATATATATATAAAGGCTTAAAACCCTAATGCCCTATCTTACTACTCTCCTCTTCCTCTATCAGCTTCAGCGCTGCCCCCTCTCTCTCTTTCTCTCTCTCCTCTAAGCTCAATCGCTGATCGCTGCACTTCTCTCCATCTACGACTGCTCCTCTCCTCTCAACGACGACTGCTTCTCTCCTCTCAACGGTGACTGCTCCATCTCCAACGGCGCTACGAACTGAAGTTGGTATGTATTGAAGGATAACACATAACAGGACAAATAATTAGTTTCATAATATTTTGTTTCTTTTAATATTATTTAATTGAAAGTGCAGCTTTTCAACCGTTTGGATATGAGATTGTCTTGTTGATTTGTTTCTCTAAACACCTTTCATTACATGAGAAACTAGAAAAATCCCTTTTGATTTTATTAATTTATATATGGACATTCTGAATTATATATGAACATCCATATAACTGGTAGGTTTTGTGTACTGGAAAAAAAAACCTACAAGAAACCTACCGGTAGGTTTTGGCTACTGGAGTAAAACCTACAGCTAAGTTTTTGCCTAGAAGTGCCAAAACGCCTACAACTTGTGAGATCCTGGTGTCCCACATCAGTTAGGGAGGGGAAAGTTGGGCTTATTAGTAAGCCCCTCGCCTTACATGTCATAAGACCTTTTCCCAGGGGTACTAGGAGGAACAAAGTCGTGAGGGCTAGTGGGCCCAAAACACACAATATTATGGTATGTGGAGGGTGGGGTGTTACAAGTGGTTTCAGAGCCGACCCTCGCCTGGATCGAGTGTGGGCCCCTACCGTGCTTGCGTGCAGGTGGACGGGCAGGTAGATAACGAGCCGCTGCACGGGGACGTGTAGCCCTAAGGGGGGTGGATTGTGAGATCCTGGTATCCCACATCAGTTAGGGAGGGGAAAGTTGCTAGGCTTATTAGTAAGCCCCTTACCTTATATGACATAAGAACTTTTCCCAGGGGTGTTGGGAGGAACAAAGCCGTGAGGACCAGTGGGCCCAAAGCGGACAATATTATGTCATGTGGAGGGTGGGGTGTTACATGTGTGATCCTGGTGTCCCACGTCGGTTAGGAAAGGGAAAGTTGCTGGGCTTATTAGTAAACCCCTCGCCTTACATGGCATAAGGCCTTTTCCCAGGGGTACTGGGAGGAACAAAGCCGTGAGGGCTAGTGGGCCCAAAGTGGACAATATTATGCCATTTGGCGGGTGGGGTGTTACAAGTGGTATCAGAGCCGACCCTCGCCTGGAGCGAGTGTGGGCCCCTGCCGTGCTCGCTTGCATGTGGGCGGGCAGGTAGCTGACGAGTTGCTGCACGGGGACGTGCAGCCCTAAGAGGGGTGGATTGTGAGATCCTGGTGTCCCACATCGGTTAGGGAGGGGAAAATTGTTGGGCTTATTAGTAAGCCCCTTGCCTTACATGGCATAAGGCCTTTTTCTAGGGGTACTAGGAGGAACAAAGCCGTGAGGGCCAGTGGGTCCAAAGCGGACAATATTATGCCATGTTGAGGGTAAGGTGTTACACAACTCTTGCTCCACTTGCTTGGGAGTCCCACCTATGATTCTCCCATTTGTCCTCTGACATATTCTACATATATAAATGCATCCTACACCCTAGTGGCTAAATTTTGAGGATGGAGGATGGGAAATGAAGAGAAAGAAGGAGGAGGCATGGTGAGTTGCAGGCTAGACTTGTCCTAGCCTGTCAAAAGCCATCAACTCACCTCCCATTAATGGGAGGCTTGCACATAGCCTATTGGGGAGCCTCATGGATGAAATTTACCATCTCTTACACCATATATTCAGCATTCCACAAGCTTTAAAGAAGGAAAAGGCTACCTAAGCTTAGAAAGGTCAAGGAAGAAGATAAAGTTTTACATAGAGAAGTTTAGATTTTTGCATTTCTTCCACTCATTTCACTTGTAATCTTCTGTAAGACTTTAGAAAGCTTCATTTATTTCCTTTAATGTCATTTATTTCAAGTGTATTCATGTTTAGCTATGCATTCAGGATTTTACCATTGTTGTATGAGTTTTCTCATTTCAAGCTTTTAAAATGGGTATTGAATATTTTTCTTCATAGTTTAAGATTTCTTTACATTAACACAAGTTTTAATCTCTATTTCAATACTATGTCTCTTTACATTATGCATGTCTTTCCTTTTATTATAAGTAGCTAGCTTTAAGTTGGCTAATCGAAGGGAGAACTCCTCTTGAGTATGCTATTTCAACTCATTTTTTTCCTCCATGTAGTGTACGTTGATTTGATTTCACTAGGTTGAGTGTGGACATGGTTGCGTGTTCTTGATACACCGTAGACTTGTCACGGGGTATGCTTGAATCCTAACCTCCATTTTAATGCCGCGCTTCCTATTGAATCAATCAAACATCTAGACATTATTGGAGGAAGGTCTTGAGTTGAATTGGCATTCCGATTGGAATGATCTATTTGGATTAGCCAACACTTGTTTCCAATTTTATTTTCATCAAGAACAAAACTCACCAAAACTCAAACTCAAAAGAATTTTACACTTGTCATTTTTCACAAAATCACCTTCATGTAATTGCCTTCCTTCCCTAAGGAGAGCACATTGGAATACCCATTCCAAGTAAAACACGTCATTGCAAGATTCTCTCTATGATTGGGGAGCAATTTTGTGCACACACACACATATTTTGTTCATTCCACACATCCGTTTTCCTATTTCTTGCATCGAACCCAAGTGAGAGTGACACTCACCTACTCATATAAGCTATAAACACATTTGAGGGTTCATGTGAGGAGATTGGTGACAACGAAACAAACCAAGCATTTTTGGCCCCGTTGCCGAGGAAGGTTAAGCATTGACTTCGAAGTTGATTTTGGACGACATAGGTAAGTCTCGTGATTTTCATCATGAGCCAAGGTACATTGTCTCATTTGTAAATAGTTGGTTTTAGTTTGTGTTTTGTGTTGTGTTTCCTAATTTTTATGATAATATGTTAAATGCCTCAAATCTTGAAAATGTGTGTGAGATTTGTAATGAGTATGGGCACATCATTAGTGAGTGCCCAATTATACGGTTCAAGACTTTGCATGTGAAGGTTCAAATTCAATATTGGCCTCTGAAAATTTTTACCCTGACTATTATGTTACACTGAGTTATCTGAGTTATGGTTGAGAGAATGAACCTTATAATTTTTCATCCGATCTCACACCACCAAATGAATTTTGCCACTGTCCAACATATGGAAACTCAATCAAAGAAGAATTGGAAAATACTTTTCGCGAGTTTATGCTATACCAAATGAAATTCCATGCCCAAATAACCTAAGACCTTATTGCATTGACTAATGCTATAACAACTGTGATGCCCCTAGAATTGGGGGTCCCTTTGACCACCCGTCAACCCGCAAAAATGCCCGTGATTGTCGCTTGATCCGACACTACGTCAATATTTTTCCATTTATTGGGATTTTAAACTCACACGTGAAACCTGTGCACCTTTATCATTGTAACTAACCGTGGCCCAATGTACCACATTCCATTCTCCATTATAGTCCATTTACATCATAGGAACTAAAGGATGCATAGCCCAAGGCCTAGGAGAAAGATTAAATTTTTTTTTCAAAATCTGCCAAAGTGTACTGGTACACGTACCGGTATAGGTTGCTCACTAGACCTCACCGTACCGATACAGTTTGCCTTCTAGACCTCGTTGTACTGGTACGCTGTGCCCATTTTTCCCTGTTTCACCTGTTTACATTCAAATCCAATTTTAACCGTTCCAACATCATCTCAAACATACAAAATGATGTTGTTCATATAAAACTTGATATCTACAAGTTCTATTACAAGCCATTTACACGGTTACATGTCAAAATGGAATTAAACCTAAGTTTCACACAAAACTTGTTTTCAAAAGCCACAATCCAACTTTCTTCACTCTCGAGGCCTCGAATGTGTGTCATCCACTGGAATAAGCCCCGCACTTAAAATGTGTTCCTGTATAGGGTGAGCCAATGCCCAGTAGAATATTTCCTACAGAGGCTACTCCCCACCTAAGTGCATATGAATGTATATATGCAACAATCACTATCATAAATCCATTTCAATGCAAGAATATGTAATTCATGTTGGAATCTACCTTGCCATGCCATGAAATGAGATGAGACTCACTCATGCACTTTACCCCGAGTCTTCACCGACTCCCACAACACAATGCAGTGCCAATGTGTAATTTAAACCGTCATCTATGTTACACATCAAATGACATTTTCAAAACTAGGGTCTTTCTTGGGGTGGATATTCATGGACTTACACCAACGGCACCCAGGCGATATGGAATTCATGGACTACCACCATCGGTTCTGCGTACATCGACACACTTTATGGGCTCTTATACGAACGGAGTGCGAATCCAATCACTGGGTCTTTCACTCGAGGGATATTCTAGCCCTTTTTGCTAACCTCAACCCAATTTTTCATAAAACCGTGCGACTAAGTCGAATCATCGATCAAACTTTTCCAAGTCCACTTGTCAAACACCAAATAAGGTGAAGACGACAACCATGCACACACACCCTCAATATGCGATGTCTCCGTGCAAATGCAATGTAATGAACCATTGAACATCAATGTCATGTCCCACATGTAATGAATGCCATATGGACAACTTAAACCACATATTTTACATATGTCATGACAATTTATGTCTTATGTACATAATCACCAATATCATCACAAGTCAATATATCAAAGAGCGTTTATTAACATTTGATATTCAACCACAATTCACAACAAGCATGTTATACATAACTCATGTCAATAACATACTTAAATCACAAGGTATCTTATAACCACATAGCATGCCCACATAAACCCAATTTTCAAGGGTTTACATAAATACTTCCACATATCAAAATTTAGTTAGAAAATTGGTCTAGGCCATTCCTATACTCATTTCCTTATTTCCTCACCCCTAGTCAAGTGACCTAGGTTATTTCATGCCCTTATCTATACTATATAACATCCTAGGTAAGAAATGAACCAAGGTAGGAAGGAACCCTACCTCTTGGAGTGTAAAACGAGGGGAGAAAACCTAAAGAACAACTCCCAAGTCCCAAACCTTTGATTTTCCCAAAATCCTCCTCTTGGATCTTCGGTGAAACTCTTTGTTCTCCGTATGTACGCGTAGCCCTCGTCGCATAGACCAACTTTAATTCTTGGTT